GGTCCCGCCGCCGCCCGCCCGGGCCCTGCAGCTACCGCGCAGCCCTAGAGCGCGGGGCACGCGTGGCACCACACGGACAGGTAAGCGCTGCCACGCCGCGAGCGTGGGCACCTGGGAGGCCTCTGAGGTTCTCTGGCATGGGGCTTGGCTCTCCCTGGAGCCTGGGTGGCGAGTGTAATGTGCGAGGTCTCCGCGGCAGCCTGGCACCTGGGACCCATCCCGGGGACGCGTGACCCGGGGTGTGGGCAAGGATGCAGGATGCGCGTGGACCAAGTGCAGAGGGATGCACACTGTCCTGCACCCAGGAGCAGGCGCTCTGGAACCCTGATTGGGGCAGTAGCCCTTTGCTGGGGAGTTGGGGACAGCAGAGGGGCGAGTGTGAGTGTGTGTAAGGTAGTCTGGGGGGAGATTTTAAAACTCCAGGGCGCCTTTGGCCATGAAGCTTTATTTCATACTCCTGTAATTTTTTCCTCTCTGCTTACCTTTGAGGCACACACAGTGAGAGAGGAAAAAAAAAAGTTAGGAATGTTAAGTGTCTGTAGCTAGCGCTTGGGTTGTGTTTGTCTTCTCCTGGGCCTACCATTGGGTGCCAGCTCTGCGCAGACGGGAGGGGGCGAGGTGGGGACAGATGCAGGCGACTGACTGACGCCGGCCTTGTGATGGGGAGGAGGAGCGTGGGGAGCCTTCTTATGGGTGGTTAATCGCCACACTCTTCTTACTCCTTCTCCTCCCTTTCTCTCTCGGCCGTGGCAATTGAAAATGATAGTTTTGAGGTCCTCCGCTGGGATATTTCTTGGCTAAAACTGGTAATTTTGAGAAATAACCTACAAATGATGTGGATCTCGTTTTGGAAGCAAATTGTATGTAATTCGGTTGAATGCATGCCATGGAACACTAGGAATTACTTTTAGTGGATCCAGTTCACAGTGACCGTGCGGCGGCTTGCTAGGTTCCTGTAAAAATTTAGCTATCAGGGAGAGCAGAGAATAACGGTAAGGTCGTTGGCCCTTTAAGGATGGCGCTTCCTAGGCAGTTCCTCAGGAATATTTGTGGTTGTGAAATGTGCTAGCCTGCCTGTCAATGCCCTCGGATGTTTACATGTAGAAACTATTCATTTATATTTAAAAGGCAAGTGAAAATACAGCTCAAGCACACTCTACAGCAAATGACCAGCATTCATAGCTCTGCTCCTAGGAAGGCGGGAACTCGATTTTGGATCACTTTCAAGTCTATGATTGGTAATCCAAGGACATCACAGATAAGAAACCGGTGTGGTGGTTTATAAACAAGGAACATTTAAAATGTGATAAGATGACCAATATTTCTGAAAATAGCTTCTAGTGGTAAGGCTTCTTGATGGCAAGTCAGCTTCCTGAAAGCTGGCCTTTGCTGGATCTGTCCTGATACTGCCAGCCCCCACTTTTATGCTTGAGCGGATGGCTTTGTCAGGGGTTCCCTCCCCGCCCCTCCCCAGCCCCTCCAGTTTGGAACTCTGCTTAGGAGAATGCTGGCATAGTCTGGATGCAGCCAGCTCACTTACTAGTAGTGTTTTCTAAAAAGCAAAGACAAATTAAGGTTAACCCCTTAAGCACCTTAAACATGAGGCAGTTGGTGTTTTCTTTATCAAATATTTTCCTCTTATTTTACATATTCCATAGTTAATGAGAAAATTAGAAGATATTCACCAGTATCAGCTACTGCGTCTCTGATAACCTAAGATATAGGAAGAAAAAGAAGCATTCCCACCCCGTTTTATAAGAAACTTCACCACAGACATAGAAGCACTGAATGGATGGTAAATTTGTGTATTCTTTCTGATCATGTGGTCAAATTGGAGGAGAAAAAAAACAAGAAATTGTTCTTTCACACAAATAAAACAATTTGAGATCAGTTTTACAAATAATTGAATGCTGATGAATGAGAGTGCAATGTTTGCTGCCAAGTTGAAGAGAGATGGTTACTGCATCATTAAGGCAGCCAATGATATCTGACCTTCCCTCTCCACTACAAGAAAACAATTTCATCATAGTCTGCTTTAATATCCAGGAGATGCTCCAGTGGTGGGAAGGTCAGGGTTCTGATCAATGAATGTTCTTGGTTTTTATTTTTTTGTAACATCTGACATTAAATCCTAACATCTGAACAAAACTTGGGGGAGACTCCTGTTTATTTTTGTGAGCACTTAGGAATTCAGAAATCGGGGTGTATGCAGAATATCCAGTAAATTGGGTGTATATTGAAAATACAAATCTCAAATTGTTATAATCCTTGACTTTGGGTTTTTATTCCCTTTATTACTGTTGCTAGTGAATTGGCAAGCTGTCCTAAATCAAGGGAGGCAGACGCTTACATCCTAATTTTGATGGTGTGAGTAGGCAGTGGTGTGCTATGTTAACTTGATGAATGTTTGTGTAGGAATAGGAACATAGCAAAAATAAACAAACATCCCCTGGCAATTAACTAGGCCTTAAAAGCAAACATTCCTGAAAATTATGTCTGTGCCAACTAAAACCATTTAAAGATAATGGCCAGCATTAGATGTCACCAGGGCTGTGAAAACTGTGTGCTCATCTTCATGCACACCGGTGCATGTTGAACCCCAGGTACCCTTGTCTGCACACTCAGGTGTCCTCTGCCAGGCTTATTTTCTCATGTGTCTCACTGCGGACACAAGAGTGCCTTACAGGTTTCCATGCACCCCCAGGCTTTCCTCTTCAATGCCTATTTCTTGAATTCAGGCCCAGGATACCTTCCCCTCTGTCCTTACCTCCCACCATATTTTGTGAACTCTGCCCTCCTGCTACCTTCAGGGAATTTTCTCAGATCTCCTTGGTGGTGGGTGCGTCTTTCTATGAGCCCTTTGCGTCTCCTGTATTGCTTAGCATTGATTTGCTCATACACTCATTTATTCCTCTCCTCAGCTGATACTTACAGGAGGGGACTGTGTTTAATCGGCCTTTCTTATTCCTTTACTTCTGACTACAGCACTGGGCTCAGCATTCAGCCAATAAATATTAATTAAATGAAAAACTTTATTGAACTGGTGGTCCCCTCTGAAATAAAATCCATAAAAGCATTTCACCCATAAACTATGTCTTAAAAGTCCATCTTTCAAGAAGCCAATGTTGAAATGAGCTGAGGACTTGTGGAGAAGTAGTGAGAGTCAACCCAGAAGGGGAGCATTCTGAGCTCAATTCACCCCAGGTGGACCCCCAGGAGCTTGCCCCAGAATACTGTAGCTGAGCATTATAGCCAGGAAAGCTCAGTGATAACTCTTATTGCATTAACAATTTTTCATATCAGATCCACTAAATATGCAATGGAAGATTTTTTTTAGAAAAATCCAGTTTTTAAAAATTGTTTTATTAGTTCAAATTAGGAACAAGCTTGTTTCACATGTCAAT